GACTGGGAGGCCCAGGGGGAAGAGGTAGTTGCATGAATGCATGCAGACATACATTTAGTCACTAACATCTTAGCATCTCCATACATAGGTAAAGGATGTATTACAGATTCTTCAATTTGTGCAGGAAAATAGAGTTCCATTACCATAGTAAAAAGGCTACTGCTCCTAAAATTGCTTTATTTTTATTGTCCTAGGTTGTCCCAGATGCACAAACTATATATTTTAGCTTGTGCTATTTTTTCATTATCTCAATTATGCTCTTTTCCAATTCCTTTCGATTTGGCAGCCATTTAGAACCATACCAGTTATCAGTCTGCCTGTGCCACCTCCATGCTCGCCCTTAACCTCCTCCTGCATGCCTAGGACAGTCAGGCATGTCTGCATAACACTTTGACATCATTGCTTCTCTTATTTTGTAACAAATCATTTTGTTTAAATATCTTCAGCACTAGAGTTTCATCCCAGTATCCATGTATGCTGCTATAACTATACCACTGCAACCATCATTACATTCCAGTTTTTGGCATAACTGATAAAAGAGACGGTAATGTATTTGTGTTGATTTGGGGAAATAACGCATCTCAGCTCTAGCCTACAATGCAACCGAGAGAAACTCCTAGAACTGCGGTCCATCTTCAGCACTTCAGTAACCTGTTGTGAGCACTGGAAACCTGGAACACCACCAGAGAGATTCACCACTGCAAGCTAATGACTGTTTTCAGAAGTCAACCACTTGCCATTCAAATGCTGCCTTAAACTCGAGTGCCTAAATCTGTTGTTTGCCAACTCTACCACGTACAGTATCCCACAAAGGGCTTTGCGTCTCAGCTCTCTCCACAGTGCTGCAGCTGCTGAGGTAGCCACGGTAGGTGTTTTCTAGAGCTCTACTTTACTGGATACATGGTGCATCATGAATTTTATACATTGAAACGTGTATCTTTTCATTTGACTTTAATATTTTTTAAACTATTTTTATGGAAACTGTCTTTTAGTTTTGACTATGAAGTTCCAATTTTAATTACTGCAGTGCTAGTCCATTTCCAGGTGACGCTTCATTGTATGGACCAGTTGAAATTTGAGTGATACTTCGTAATGATCTATGTGCACTTTTACTTGTAAACAATTGAAATTTGGATATGTTTATACATGTAAATATAGTTGTCTGCAGTGCCCCTATTGCTTATGTTGTCTTGCCTCCCATTTGTGGTTCTATTAATAAGTACATCATATCTGATTTATTAGGGTGATAAGAATTAGACTAGAGATGTTGGGGGGGAGGGAGGGATACTTGTATCAGAGCAAGCTTGTCAACCCAGCCACCTGCTGTTTGGGGAAATGAAATAATAATCAAAACATCCTGTTTTTCTGGGGTCTGAAGCAATATTTGGATGCAGCAGTGCTGGATTCTTTTTAATTTCAGTGTTATTAGGAACTGTACTACCAGTAAAACTGAATTTGAGTGACTTGTGTAGAGGTTTATTCCTTTTGTTATGTATACCACTATTACACAGCTTGACCTAGTGTATTATGGGGGCTATTAAACTCTAAAGTTTAGATTTTTGGAGCTTGTATACAGGGTTATTTATATAATAATGTGACATTACTCAATACTGACAAAACTACTTAGGTAGTTTTTTGGGTTTGGGGTTTTTGGGGGGTTTGTTGGTTTGGGTTTTTTTTTGTGGTTTTTTTGTTGGTTTGTTGGTTTTTTTTAAATCTAGTGCTTTTTTATTTTAAAGTTAGAGAAAAGGAGGAAATGTGATCTGTGTATTTTCTGCTAAAGGGCCTGTGGTTTGCCTGGCTAACAGCCTTGCAGGTCAGTAATAACACTTCCTGGTAAAGGACTAAATGTTCTTTTCACGCTACTGTTTGTTTTTCTAAAACCAGGATTTGCTTCCTTTGGAGGCAGGTTGCTTTCATGAGGGATAGTGCAACTTGTATGAGGGTTATTAAACATAGGAAAAAAACATTTGTACTTGCACAGCTAGTTATAAATCACTTATTCTAAAATTCTGAACGTGAGTTGTCTTAAAGAATCTTACATTTTCCAGTAATTTTTAATCCATTTTTGTGCACATGTTGATTTCCTAAATGTTAAATGCTTTGTTTAAAAATAGTGTTCTCTGTTGAGAATATTTTCATGGAATAAAAAAAATCTTTTCATGGTCTAAGTAATTAGCTTCCCCATTTGTCTTCTGTTAAGACTGACAGGGAGACTTTCAGCTTGAGGTCTACAACCTCTCGTTACAGTTGTAGAACCTCTGCTGCGACTGTAGATGGGGGGAACATGTAATACCAGTTTGGTGTTGGTTTTGTTGTTGGCCTTCTCAGATGCTTTCAAATGCTGTAACATCTCACTCCAGAAACAGGCTTACTGTCAATGAGCACATGCAGCTCTAACCATAGTTCTTGCTTAAATATTTATCCAACTTCTGAGGATAATGCGTAGTATGCACCAGCTCCATATGTGACCAAGTGGAATTTGCTGCTGACGCGCTCTGCATATAAACACCATGCACCCTCATTTCCTATCAGAAGTGCCAACAGCTTTTGCTTTGCTTTCATTCAACAGGAAAAAAAAAACTACTTACCAAAGTGATTCACCTCAGTAAATGAAGCAAGTTTAATATATACATACACCCACATTTACTCATATCTGAAAGCATTTTAATTATCTGGATTGTTTGTTCTTGCCATTTCATCATTCATTCCTGGCAGCGTAGCTGTTGTGCAGGCTCCAGCAAAAGCCAAGTACTACAGATGCTGTCTTAGAAAAAAACACATTAGTTTCCCAACACACACGCAAGTAATTTTCTACTTTCATAGGTGCAGTGATATTTGAGCCTTCTGTTGTGGTCACAGAAAAAGGATAATTTCTGCGATCTGCAACTATGCAAATTATTTCGCATAAAGATAAATTTAATTCAAGAGTCTATGTACAGTGTTTTATATTCATTAAAGGAATATTATACAACAAACCTTCTGCAGTGTCACATACTTAAGCTATCATTTTATTTACACTATTTGCTTCATTTTAATATTAAGATGCCAATGCCCTTACTCTTAGGCATTATCCAAACATTGCAACTCTGGTGAAATATAGAAAGTTGCAAGACTTGATGGCACAGTAAATAAATAATTTTTAGAAATCAGTAGTTTTAAAACAAATGTGCATTGTGCAGTTAAAAGTTCTAAACATCTTGTGAAATGCATGAAGTTTGTGCAGTATCAAATTGCCAAAAGAAAGCTAAGGTTATTTCAAGTATATAATTTAAGTAGTGTTTACAGTGTCTTACATACTTAATTGTCCCACCAGCTTCACTGGAGGAGGTTCCAGTTTTCGGGAAAGTGCAGTTAAAATCTGGCTGAATTTCTCGTATCTTTCATTTTGATTAACTTGTGCTCCTTTGCTGCCCCAGAGCAATCTCATTTGAAATTCTGTCTTGAAGATTTCACTCATCTCTTCATCTGGCTGGAAACCTAGTAAGTAAAAAGAATCCCACAGTCTCACCGTCAGGCAAGCTTTTTATTGAGAAAAAGTGGCTTTTAAACTCTATTCTTTCCAAATAAGCTTTAGTATGCTGGGTTACTTTTGCAGAAATGATTTTCACAAGGTAGTGAAACAGTGAAAATCCTTTCCATCTGTGACATTCTAGTAGCTCACAAATGGCACTAGAGACACTGGGACCAGGATATCCTTTGCTCAGTTCCAGTTGTCTAGAATTGTCACTATAGCCTCACCTTAAATCTAATTACTGATGGATACATGCTGCCTGCAAAAATACTTACATTTCTCCCCTCTCCCTTAATTGCATTTTAAACTTGCAGAGAAACAAAGTCACATTATTAATATGGTGTTCCTTTCTGGCTGCAAGCGGTCAAGATCTCAGTGTTGTATCTTGCCCTGCTGTAAAGAATCTTATTTAAATGATGGGTGGTGTTTTATTTGCAAAAATCAGAGTAGGAATTTTAAATTGTACAGAAGGCAGGAAGTTATCCTCAGTCCTTACTGTACATTCCATTCAGCTGCTAGAAGAGTCAGCATATGAAGTCATGAGAACTTTTGAGTATGTCTAGCAAAAATGTGTGCTATGCTGCTCACTGGAGAACTACAGCCATGAATAATTTACTGTCTGCTTTTAAACAATATTGATGTTGTCCTCAGACTGAGTTTTCTGCAGGACATTTGCTACTATATCTCGATTTCAATGAAAGAGGAGAAGAATTTCTTGCCCTGGCTTTCAGCAGCACTTAGGCAGAGACCGTACTCTTCAGCCGTAACCCAGACACTCTGTTAACGGGCGGCAGTTTCTCCCCCCAGTGCTCCCTACCTTCCAGCACCCGCTGTGCACTCAGGCTGTACGTTTCTGCCTCCTGTGCCATCTGACGAGCTGTGGCCAAGTGCCTGAGCATTATTTCGCAGCCCTGGTCACTGCTTTCCCACAGGTCCATGCCTTCAAACGCGACGTCTTGTCGCTCCATCAGGGTGATGAGGGGCATCAGCAGTGGCACTGTTACGTTGTTCTGTGAGGCACTGGTGGTCTCTGGGATACAGAGAGTGACAAATGAATCATATCATCAAACAGTATAAAACCTGCTAATGGAAGAAGGCATTGTAGCTGCAGTATTCTTTTCAAAGTTGGAAACTACTGTTTGTCTTTCATCTTTCAAATTAGCACCTTACCTCAGATACACCTGCCCTACCAGTTTCCAGTGAACTAGCTGGGGAGAAGGCCAAGACACATTAGTGTTGGAAAACTGTATTTGCTACAGGAGAAGGCTCTGCTGAATTATTAGGCAGTGGCACAGAGATTTTAACCACATTTAGAATCTGGGTAATTCCAATAAATTCTGTGAGGCTAGAAAGCTTTCCTTCTCTACCCCTTCTCAGAGAAATGTTGAGTGAAACGTTATTTCCCTCTTGCAACCCTTTGGAGACAAAGCTGCAAAGACTCTGATGCGGGAGCACCTGATGCGATCAGAGGAATTATCTGGCTGACCCATTCTTTGTATTTGAGGATTCATCCTCTGATCCAATAGGCAAAGCAAATAAAAAGCAAAATCTGCCTGAACTCTCCTCTGAGGAAGAAGGAGATTTTTTTCCTGTCTTTGAGGCAAGAAGATGCAATGTTTCACCTTCTGCTCCACAAAGAGGGAGTGTGGGTTTGGGCAGAACGTCATAGTCTGTATGGGTGCACGCACACACTGATGTCTGGCTGGCAGACTCTTCCTTTCCTTCTATTTCATCGTCTCACGCTGCATTCCTGCAGTCACTCTAACAGTGATGCACAGCTAGCCAGACAGCAGCTGCCTCATCTCAGGAAATCAGTAGTGGGAGAGTTAAAAGGCTAAATAGAAACCAGTGTCGCTCATACTCACTGTTCCACTCCTCTTGTCCTTCATGCAAAGCTTTGCTAAATGGCTTCAGCTGTTTTTCATACGTAATGGCCGTCTGGGTGTAGTGATGTCTCAGAGAGGTCCAGGTTTGTTCTAACCTAGTGAGCTGTTCAAACAAAACAGAGTACCCATTACTGACTCCATAGCAGCTCCTAGGAAAAGTACACTGCTAGTGACAAAGTTTCTGTTCTGATGATTTCTCTAGTCTTGAAGAAATTAAATTAAAAAAAACATCAAACAACTCCATGTTTTGGAACATAAAGAGAAACGGGTTTTTACCTGTGGCATTTCCAGTGCTTTCATAATGGCAGAAAATGCATACAAATCCCCCAGGTTCTTCAGCTGCACTGCGACTTGGATGATCCTGTCCAGTGTTGCTGCTCTGTCTTCCACACTTCCTGTGCAACCCAAGATATCCACAGCTATTCCTATTGCCATGGTATTGTGCCTGTAAGTAAAACAATTTATACTACAGGTTACAAATTATTAATAATACATTATGCTGTAAATGTGTTCAGAGACGATAAGTTCAAAGGTATATTTCAGTATCTTGGTGTGCCCAGCAAACTTACCAACATCTTTGTACAAATATTAGTAACACCTTTATATGCAATATATATATATATACACACACAAATTGGCTTTGAATTTCTGTTTTAATAAATTTAACACATTTTCCTAAGGTATTACTACTACACAAAATTCTGCTCAAGCAAAGAACAAATGAACACTTAGTGGAAACTGCCTCAATTCCCTTTATCCTCCACACTCAAATCCTGGGACCTCCCCCTGCATTTCAGCAACCAAACTACAGAAATCAGAATCAGAAGCAGAAAAGCTGGCTCAGGGATACAAGACCCTAATTGTTCTCCCTTAACTTGTGCAGAGGTTTTACAGAAAGCTTTGCTGACCATTTTTTACTTTGCTAGATCCTCTAGCCTCTCCCCTAGTTGCAGAAGGCTGCTACCTTCAGTCTCTTCCACAAACTTGCTTGGGTAGATTATAGGTCCCCTGAACTCTTAAGGGAGAGCTGAGGGTGTTCAGCAGCTCCAGGGACCCGGCTTTCAATGCAGTTCCCCTTTCCCTGCATTACATGCAGGTCACTCCCATGACCTTAAAGAATTTTTCCTATGCAAAAAGAAGTCTTACGGTATCTGACTACATTATCTCCTGTACACACAAATTCAGCAAACGTGCAGGAGAGCATTCTTTGAGGAAGTGCAGAGTACAATGTAGCAATGCTCTGATCTTCTGGCCATCTGCCCTGGAAATGAGTAACAGGAACATTTACCTTTCAATTAGATCAAGGCGCAGTTGATGTCCGTAAGGCAAGGTAATCAGTTCAAGACCAGAGTTCACTCCCATCATCCTCCTCATCTCTTCAGAAACTTCTAGAATCCTTGCCACCTGTCAAGTGCAAAAATTTGTGCATGAGTTTTGAAATTAACATATTTCAAAAAAAACCCCTATTTCCTAGAAGTCTTCCAGGTTAGTGCAGGGCACGTAGAGCCAAGTGCGCAGCGTGCAATGTTAGAATGCAGTCAAGGAAGAAAAACAATTTAAATTCACTTATGCACGTTCAGTCCCTTACACAAAAAGGCCGATAATATATTTTTTTGCATAATTCAGCCATCAGAAAAGCATATACAAGGTGTGACATGGTTGCTGTGTCCAAGTTCTGTCCTCAACTTCCAGAAGGACATATGCAAGCTCTGGGAAACGTGGTGCTCTCATGATCTGATCCTTGTCATGGTGGTGCTGCTCTTTGGCCTTAAAGATGTACACATTAGCTTCACCTTCTTCATTTTGAAAAATTCTGCTTCGAATGTTTTTGAATTACACCGCAGAGTCCTCACAAGGATTAATTAGTAAAAGTAAAGAAGACTAAATTACTAAAAGTAAGGAGGACACTGAATGTTGAGTGCCTAATAAAGTCAGTATGTGACAGCTGACACCCTCACCAATTTGTCTTTGCTTTTTAAGCATGCAGTATTAGCTACTGGTTACATCAACAATTATGTATGCTAATTACAAGCAAAACCACGTTAATATGATCATGTGAGATTATCTGCTGGTTTAAGGCCTGTATGTTGACACATTTACAAACCAATCTGTCTGCTACTTCTCAGACACCCACCAACAGGCTTTCTTGGTTATGAAAAGATGAAAGCAATCTGAGCCACACAACAAGCCTCACCGGTACAAAATCTAGCACTGCAGAGAAACCTGTTTCACTTCTGGAGCAGGAGTGATATGAAGCCCCTGGAGACACAGTGATTGCTACTCCTGCGTCACAAAAAGCCCTCACAGGCATGCAAGTGGCAGATAGTCACTCCACACTTAGCATATGGGTGCTTCTTTCATTATTAGAAATGTCATTATCTAAAAGGCAAACTGAGCTACTGATGCCAGGAGAAGATCTATGAACTTCAGCCTTATCACACATCTCAGTACAAAGCATTTATTCTGCCCTGTTGACATGCCAATCCCATTGTCTCATGCAGTTCTTATCACTGCAGTTGAAGGCAAGAAGTTCCCAATGACTGACAGTCACGGGCCCTCAGCACTGCGATATCAAGGGAAAACAGGCTGCTCTACGTGTCCCAGCTAGTTACTGTTCCTGCTTCAAAATGCAAAAATCTGTTTCTGTAAAACACTCCCGTGACTCTTAATTGTACAGGCTCCCATACCTCCAGCAGGCCAGTTTCCTTGGCCACATTCCAAAGTTTATAGGATTTAAAGTTAGATTAATAATAAGCTGATTGAATATTTTATATATATATAAACCCCTTACTACTTCTTGAAGGCGTGCATATCCTATGCCTTCAAGCTACATACTCTTTACCAATATACTAAAAGACAGTCTGGTTATTGTTATTAGGTTGAAGGAAGAGAAGGTGAATTTTGGAACTAAAATGTTAGAGAATGCTGTTACTACTCTTGGAACCGTAGTAAAGAAGCCAAAATCTATCATTTCTGAAAAGAGCAAGCAGTTGTGGAGCTGAGATTTTCTGAGTCACCATGTCTGCATGAAGCCTCACTTAGCAGCCGCCAACACGGCCACCGAGGGGAGAAGCTGCGTTTGCTGTTGGCAGGAGCCCAGGGCTGGCAGGCAACTCAAACACACGCATCATCTCCTGCTGCTCCCCTCAGCTGCCCCCTTCCCAGACCCATCAGACACATTTCTGTGAGAACACCAACATTCCCACCTTCTTTCTTGTTTGCAATGGAGGCTCTCAAGCTGCTCTTAAAAAAACCCAACCCACCAAGCAAAAACCAGCAAAGCCCCTGACACTTGGTTCCTGTGGCTGCTCTGTGGCAGGTACAGCACTCGGTCATCCCAGCAAAGCGCTGCAGATTCAACTGCAGTTGTGTTTCTTTCATTACACAAAGTCATCACTTCATAAGGAGATGATTCCTCCTGTCTTTCCACGTTTCAGATGCAAGAGCTGATCTCTCAAGCCCTGTCAGCTGAACAAAGTCTACGTTGTGAAAAATAGTTCTTTCTGTTTTCACATCTTTCTAAACAATTCCACTAGTAATACAGTTCTCCCACAGGAGAGAAATGCAGAAGTCCTGGTAGCTATTGTCCCACACCACCTCTCCAGCTGTAAGACAGAGACTCAGGCAAACATTAGAAGAGCAGCTAATTTTAGAAGTTTAAACATACTTAGTTCCATTGAACTAAATATTACAGCCAGCAGTGTGGCAACCAGGTAATGTCTGTCTATTATTTGCCCTTGCAAGATAACGAGCTATTTCCCGTCACGAGTAGTTCTTTCCACAATGGTTTACGGCAGATAGCTCTTTCTCCAGTAGAGAATAAAGGCTGAATCACAGATATACAGCAACTGATAGGAGAGTTAAGAGATGTATGGAACACTGCAAGTTTGAGTCTAAAGTCAAGGATGGTGGGAGGCCTTTAGTCCGAAGCTTTTGTTAACGTTCCTGTTCTGCAAATGGGAAAAAAACCAAACAAAAAACCTAAAAATTCATGCAAGCAAGTAAATACATTTATTACATTAGCTACAAATCTACCCATTCATCTTTTCAAATCAGTTCTTTGAAAAGTCTAAACTTGCACAATATAAAATAAAATGCAAGATTATTTTTTTTTTTACCTTGCAGTCCATTCTGAGAATATGCTGTGCAATAATCCTTGGATCGTTGTTGGTGAAAAGCTCCTTAACTCTTCTTAACATTGATCTTTCCAATGGCTTGTTTTCAGGAGGAAGTAGTCTGGATTCAAAATCATTGGGTTTAAAACTAGACACCGTCTCAAAAACAGGTGCAGAAAAGATGCTGTCTTCTTCAGCCATCTCAGTTGAAGCTTCTAAAGGATCTGCAGAGTTCATGGTAGGGTCATCTTCCAGGATGAAATAGTTTGTTTCAGAGTTCCTGAATGACTGCTTTCCCTTCTCCTTCCGTCTCAGATGTTCCACATAGCTGTTTTTCTGACATAGATGTTCTTTTGTTGCTGCAGGATCTCCAGCAGTGCTTAGTTCACAATAGTGTCCTTCTGAGCTGCGGGAAGCCAAAGGAGAATCTGGGGGCTTCATCAGGGGTGCTTTGCTGGGTTTAGGTGGAGGTTTTGGACAGAGCTGACTGTCTGAGCCTCGAAGAGCTTCCCCTGCTTGTAACTCTGAGGTGACTTTCTGAACAACTGTGGGGCTTAGAGAAGGTTCACTACCTGTTCTAAACGCAGGAGAGCTTGGACAGGAGTCTGCATCTGCTTCAGGTAATTGAGATGGATGTCTTGAACCTGCAGGGGAAAACAGTAATTTAGAAGGTCAAAACATCCAATTCCTGATATCTGTCCCATGTTCATCTCAATGCTATTTCCTGAGGCAAATATTGTCAGTTCATGTCAATTATTCACCGACAAAAATGTATATGAAATTATATTTTGAGGAAAGAGCTAGCCAGCAAATTCCATTCACTTGCTGATCCTCCCAAAATCCCAAATACACAGAACAGCTGCACCATAATATTATTCTGTGGTAATGCTGACAATAATTCCAGTCCCTGCTGCATACATAGGCTATACTGTCAGAGCTGGATAGTCTCCATGGCTTGGAATAGGAGGTTTCTTTGTAACCTGATCTAGACTATAAAAACAGAAACTTCCAGCCACACCACATAAAAGATGAGTCATTTCTGAGAATTACAAGTTTGAGATGAAAGAAAAGCTTCCCGAAATCAAGCCTGAACCTGCAATAAGGTATGGAAGGAATGAATTTCAGGGATGCTAATCTTTTTGCTAAACAGTAGCTGATTTGAAGAGCTGCAGAAACATCCATAAACTTCTGTGAATTTATGCCTTGTCCTGTACTCACTGCATATGCAAACTGTGGCATCCAATACCAAACCCTGTATCAGACGTACCCAATCTGCATTTCTCAGTGCATTTGCTGGTACCTACAGCAAAGCGGCCACTTGCAGCCTGTGGGCTTTACTGCTTGTTTCCAGCTGGCTCTCAATTTATGCAGACAACAAAATCTGCAAATCACAGCCTGTCACCACTCATAACCAGTATGATACCAGAACCTGCTCAGAGAGCCCCATGACAAAATGTACAGCAGAACTTTTCAGATTAATTGTTAGAGTACCAAAAGAAAAGTTTTTGCAGCCATGTATTGGAGTAAAATAATCAATTCAAATACAGATGGACAGAAGCTCATTTTATGAATGTCTGCCCATCCCACTGTTAAACACAGGAACACACCCTTTCTATCAAAATACAGTCTTGCTATAGAAATAGCTTTGTCTTGAGAAGTCTTTCCACAATAGACACTATAAATTTTAACAGCTACCATATTCAAAATCTCTAGCAGCCTCAGAAGTCAAACACTAGAATTTGTCCACATGGGAACAGACACATCGTTGCAAGCTTCCTTACACAGTCTGTTAATATGGAAACAATTGCTTAAACCTCTGAAGACTCTGAGATATAAAAAGCCACAGTCAACAACCAATCAAGAGTTGGTACACCTTGTGTCGCTGGAGGAAGACAATGACAGTGGCCATGGAACCAGACAGCAGCAAAGGTGTTGAAAGAAATGAAAAGCAAAGGCATGGCAGGGACACAGAGGTTCAGAGAGACAGCCGGACAGAACTGAGTACAAGCGCCACGGTAGTGCTTTTCTTCCAGTGAGGAACACTACCAATCTGCATACTCTACCCTGAGAAAAAGCAGTTACCAGGATTTCCATGAAACACCGCTCCTACTTAATAGACTTCTGTCAGGAAGACACGAGTGAACATGTCAGTTCTTGCAAAGCACAAGTAAGGAAAGGTACTAGTGTCAAAAAGGATATTAAAGCCAACTGTAGCTGTCATTTCTTTGGTGTGGAAGCCTGCTGATTTGTATGCTGAGGTACTCAACTACCTGGTGTGTTGCAAATTAAAAAAAAAAAAGTACGTTTCAATGGCTCCAAGAGCAAGCAGTATGCTAACACAGCTTACCTTGGCCATTGAATATAACTGTACATACAGTACACCCAGAACACTCAACAGTCTCATTTTGGTGTGAAGTCTAACAGACCACCTGGGCACACACAGATTCGAAGTGCGAAACATTTAATTAAAACATACCTATTGGCAGATAGCTCTCGGACTGGTGAGCCTTTAGAGGGAATCTTTTCTCTGGAACATGATCCAAACTAGCTGGCTGGCTACCACTTTTTTCTTTGATTCTAGAGTAAACAAAAATGCAAACAAAAACATATCAATATATCCAACACTCTTAACATACATACCGAATTGCCAGAATATATCCTAGCCAGGGCAAAGATCATTACCCTCCCACTTGGGCAGCGTACAAGAATAAAAGGTACTTCATACTTTCATACTATTGTCGTAGCGATTAAATGGGCTATAATATATGTGTGACCCTGCAGCATTTTTGAGGGTGTTTCTTTCAATGTTGAGACATTTTAAAGGAACATTTTAGAACATAAAGGATTTGGACACTGAAATTAGGATCCTTTATTCCATACATGGCATTTTTATTGCATAAGTGAAATATGGAAAGAAAGACTTGTCTGGAGCAGCAATAAGATTATATTCTAATCCTTTGTCTTACACTAGTCAAAATCTGCCAAGTCACTGAAGAAGTTCACCACTTTTGTACTTCCAGAGTCTACATTTGCTCTCACCCTCTGGATTTTCTGACTTTTAGCAAAGGGTTTTTAGGGCCTTAAAAAATGATTTGCTAAAAAGCAGCAAACCCTCACATCTAGTGTTTCATCTAAAATCAGAGTGAAAACTCACATCACCTACAGCAGGAGCTGATGGAGTTCCCTCATTCCCCTCCATAAGGACAGCAAAATTAAAGTACCTCAGAAGATTTCCTCTGGGTATGCTCTGCTCCGGGGATTGCATGCTGGAAACACCAAGACTCAGCCTTTTTGAAGTCTCTGTTTTTCCTTCAGGGATACTGGGCTCTTTTTGTCGGACTGGAGTTACACCATACTTTTCTTCTAGACACCGCAGAGGCACAGTCCTGTTGATAGGCTGAAAAATAATTGCTCCGCTCTGCTTTGATATTGGTGTGCGATTCCCAACGTAGTACCTAACTAAGCCGGGGATAGTGTCAAAACTTTCAAGTTCAAACTGATACTGAACACGGCAGTAGGCTTCATTAAGTCTTAGAACCGTTCTGTTGATTTTAAAATGCTGAGAGGTGTTTTTCCACTGACAGGTAAGAACAAAGTTCCCAGGACTGGAAAGAGAATCCCTAATCAGAAAGTCTCCATCTCTCTGAACTAGGCTTTCTGCCACCTTTGAGGAAAAAGAATTACAGAAAAAAATACTTTCAGAATCAGAAAACAGTCAAACAACACATCACAAAATATTCTTAAAAACAGGACTGAATTTGCCTGCTCTGGGAAGACAGACAAATCCAGAAACACAAAGCAAAGTATGAAGCATGGTAGAAGAACGATGTCTCCAATTCTAAAATTAAGAGCTTATTGCACAGCAGAAATCTGGAGGGGCTTCTTGGAAAATGCCCAGCAGCCAGAGGCATGACCCACTTTTGCATACTTATAGCTTGCTAATAGAAAATAAGGCATGAAGGGAAAGCAACGACTCAGGATTTTAGAATTTAAAGCACCTGAACAGGCAATCACACTGAAGTTCAGAGGCCATTACTTCAGGACCTCAGAAACTGTCCTTTCATTATTACCTTAAGTGACGGAAGCTTTCGGGTTTTTTTGTGAATACCGCATGGTAGTAGAAAAATCCTGGTGTTCTGTTTGGGGCTAGTCCTTTCATGCGGTAACTGCGCACCCAACAGCTAAGGTTAGGCGCTGCGTGTGGCTGCTGTGCCGCCCCCCCCGCCGCGCCCCCAGGGCCGCCGCCAGCTCCGGCCGCGCCGGCTGGGCGAGGGGGTGCCCGCAGGGGCTGCCCGCAGGGGGCGCTCCAGCTGCTGCGGGAGCCTGCGCTCCAATCCACCCACGGCATTACCACATTTTTAACTACGTTTCTAAGGATCAAAAAGGAAGTGATAGCCTAGATTTTCTTCCCACCCACCCCCCGAATTCCAAGGACAAGAAAGAAAATAAAGAAGAACACTTTAACGCTGATTAACAATACTGAACCAAATTAATGTCAGTTAGTCTGAAAAATCTGTGGGGACGGTATTCTCAGATAAAGCTTAAATTCCACTTCCACCCTTATTCAGTGCATGCAAATCCTGAAATATCTATATTTTTCACCAGTGTGTGCCCTGAATCCTTCCTCAGCCTCATTTTATGCCAAGCTGTGATAAATACCAAATACCATACCTTTCACACAAACAAGCATTATGTTCCTCCTAAATTAATGCAGATATCAGAGCTGTGTATAGTACCTCAGTGCAATTCTGCTTGTCTATAAAAGCTCCAAGCACTGTTGGCAACTCAAAGACCACGTACCTGCCGAGGAATACGTCCATGGTACCAGGCATGGCTCCGCAAGTCTTCACTACTTAGCTGCAGTTCTTCCTCTAACTCCTTCTTCAATTTTTCTGGGCTGTTGTCCATAACCTGCCTCTCCCTAGAAAACTGCAATAAAAGATTAAAAGCTTCAACCGTGCCAAGTTTAGTGATTAACATTTTACCTGGGTTATAACTTCTATCACATGATCTGAACTAGCCACTGGAATGCAGGTGCTGGTGGTAGCAGGCTGGCTTGGCTCTCTGGATTGTATTTGCAAAATGCAGCATTCAGTGAGATAACATGGGATTGTTATACACTGTGCGGGACGGAGCAAAGTGTTCTGTGTGTACACCAAGCTAATAGTGACACACCTATACAGTCACTTCTCGTATTACTTTCTCTTTCCCATAACAATTCTAATGCCCACCCCTCCCGCCCCAAAAAATGGAGCTGGACCCAAATGCCCGCTCTAATACTCTTCCTCCTGTTTGAATTC